TTTGAACAAGTTTGTGGTCTAAACTCTGTAAACTCTATCAAAGATAAGGGTGAAAATATTTGTTAACAAAAGCTGGACTGCTTCGTACAAAAAAGCAGCTTTTGTTTTCTTCAGATCTGCGTAGTTTGTTTGTTTGCGCGGGCGGAGAGAGTTTGCAGCCGCGACAATTTCGCGCCAAAAACAGGGTGTCTTGCTTTGGTTCAGTGTTCCATCGTCCAATTGTTGAGTCATTGTTTTGCGTCGCTGTCATTACATGGTATATTGATCGATCAAGGAGAAAAATGATCCACTCAAGATAAGACAAAAAAAATCACTTCGAAAAAGTACATATTCTTGAACATTTTCAAAAATAATTATAGAACAGCAATTACAATGATTACCCGCCCGTGTTCGGTATTATCGTATAAATATCTTTAAAACAGTATTCAAATACAGCTTTTTAATTTCCTTTCTTAATATCAGTTTCGACATAAGTGTTTGTAGACGTAATTCATCGCAGATCGCATATTTGCTCTCACCTTTCAGCACCATTCGAAAGTGTTGTAAAAGTGTAGCGGTCGTATTTGACTTCATTTTTGACTAGTATCAAAGGTGTGGTCACAGCCACTACATTTTTGACTTCATCTTTGACGTGCGTCAAAGGTAAAGTCAAAGTTACCAGCATATTTGACAACGACTTTGATAAGGGTTAAAGGAATAGCAAAGCATTGATTCATTTGACTTCATCTTTGACGCGCGTCAAAGAAGAAGTCAAAGTTATTAACAATTTGACTTTACCTTTACCGAGGTCAAAGGAGTAAGCAAAGAGGTTATATATTTGGCGACATCTTTGACGCGCGTCAAAGGTGAAGTCAAAGCCAAAACCATATTTGACTTAACTTTTGACGCGTGTCAAAAGTGCAGTAAATCCAGTTTTTCGTCCCGTGTGAAGATACTGATATCGAAGAAGACTGGAAACTATTCAAGTCTGGGCTTAGGACCTCAGTGGACCGAAACATTCCATCAAAAATGGTCAGCGGTCGCAGCAAGCTTCCCTAGTTATCGGCGCGACTGCGCTGCCTTATCCGACGAAAGAATACAATCCACGCCAAATATAAGAAGGCTGGTAACCACAGGCTTTGTACCTTAAGGAGCAAATTAAGGAGAAAAGTCACCGGCTCACTCAGATCTGAGAGAAACCACATTTAAACCAAGTTATCGGAGATATCCAATCCAATCCCAAACCTCTCTGGAACTATATACTATCAAAAAGGGAAGACAACCAAGTTATGCCATTTCTCAAAACACTACCAGGCACTACAGTTGATAGCGACTATGAAAAGGCTGAAACACTTAACTCCCAGGTCCAGAATAACTGGTCACATGAAGATCTTAATTCTGTTCCTTTTCTGCGGAAAATCACACCTGGTATTGGGAACATTGTCGTAACAACTAACGGTATAATCAAATTACTCGACGATCATAAACAATCTTAATCTGAAGTACCGGATGAAATCCATCCTCATGTCCTCAAGGAATCCTCATCCCAAGTCACTCCTTTCCTAAAGTAAATTTTTCAGAAGTCTCGTAGAATAAGCTTCCTGAAGATTGGCGAGTAGTCACCATTTGCCCAATCTACAAGAAAGGGGACAAAAGGATATCGATCACCTAACGTTTTGGGCCAAGAAATGATACATGCGCTTTGAGCCAAACAAGTGCAAGATAATGCGCGTAACTCGAAAAACCACCCACAAGATCACTTATCAATACACTATGGAACACACGAGTCTGGAATCTGTCCAGGCCATGAAATATCTTGGAGTAACGATATCAGATGACCTTAGATGGAACCGCCATGTAGCAGATATAACAGGCCGTGCTAACAAACTTCTCGGTCTCCTTAGACGGAACCTTTCAACATGTGATAGAAGAGTAAAAGAGGCACCCTACCTTGGCCTAGTAAGACCATTACTCGAGTATGCGAGCCAACCATGGGATCCATATACGGATAACCTATCAAACGAGATCAAAAAGATACAGAGACGCGCTGCGCGTTTTGTAACATCTGATTACCAGAATTATGATCATGGAAGTGTCGCTACGCTTTTAAAGGACCTCGGTTGGAAGTCTCTAAAGAACAGGAGAGAAGTAGACAGACTCTGTCTTCTCAAAAAGGGATTAGATAACAACGCAATCCTGCCCCTGGATGAATTATCAAAGCCGGCCAGAGAGACGAGACATATGCACAATAGATATTACACCACAATTTATGCCCGCACTAACATATTCAAATTCAGTTTTGTGCCACGCACGATTAGAGATTGGAATAATTTACCACACATTGTTGTAGAAATTGCGCACGATGCTAAGTTCCGCAAATTATTGTTATTTACGATTCTCTAGAAATCCGCTAACCCGAGATGTAAATAATATCATTTGTTTAATGAAGGAGGTTACATCAAATAAATAAGTGAAGTGAAGTGAACCTTGCGTGCGCCATTTTGAAATGCGTGAATTTGCTTAATTGCTTTATGTAAACCTCCATGAAATGTCACTGTTGCCCAATACTTCAGCGCATTTATCAAAATTACACATAAACATTGGATCCAAATATTACATGTTTGTCTCCTTCATAAAACATGTCCCATTCCACAACTAATTCGGTATCTTTTCATTAACCAAATATATGAAAAAAGATAGTGTACAAGTTTGTCTAAATGTCCCATTATTTCTACATGAGGTGGAAGCACAAAATCTGGAAAATTAGGTGCTTTTTCCGCTAAAACAACCATTTAAAATTCTCAGTACATTATGTGAGCCAAAGATTATCCGCACGCGGCCCACTTTGGGTCTGTTACTTATAATAGAATACGGCAGGTGTTTAAAAACGAAAACAAGAGTAAACCTGGTAAATACAGGCGGATTTTAGACGTTTAGAAATTTGGTTGCTTTGAAGACCTAAGGAAGGGAGTTGTCAGAAATTAGCAGGGGGAAGAGGGAGTGGGAATTTCAAATTTGGGTTCAGAAATGAAGTGACACATCCCTGTAATGGGATTGAAATTTGCTAACCCTCCCCTTGAGCTTGGCCTAAAATATCGTGGTTCTCCCCCTATTGTATAAATGATAAAATCTAGTCCTTGCAATACTCTACGGTGAGTCAGTATTATGAAAACTCACAATATATTTCTAATCTGTTCTTTGTAATGCCATATACATGCATTTTAGATGACAGCATTAAGAGTCCTACTCTGATTCTGACAGCTGATCATATGACTCTCCTATTTCTCCCAGGTTTTTTTTACCAAATAAAGAACTTCCTTTTTCTTCTGTAGGTGAACCTCTACATGATCACGGGCATATATTTGCATGACCCTCCCCCTTTTAACGGCCCATTTTTCTTGGCCCCTCCCTTTTCTGAGTCTCAAAAAGTTGTGACCCTCCCTCTGTTTCCAACCCCCCTGCCCCCTGCTAATTTCTGACAAGTCCCTAAGGAACCATAGGTACAGGGACATCTCGCTTGTTTCGGTTTAGTTCCAAAAACATCGTTGACGTAGAAGTTGATTTTTCCTTGGGTGTTACTCTGAAGAAGAGGTTTTCTCGGATCATTCAGGGCAACCAAAGAAGAGGAGGAGCAAATTTGGTAGCAACGATAGGTCAGAGTGCCGATTAAGTTTATTTCATATTTGCGAGGGGTGAAAGAGTCCCATTTAGTATAAAGACTTGTGAGAGTCTTTTTTCCGGTAGATGGATGTCATAAAGGTGGTGTTGGGGCGGCGTTTTACTTTTAAATTCTTAATCTCATTTCCAGACCCTTTGTAATTTTTGAAGTTATAGTCTAAGATCACTTTTGAAAATAAATGTTGAATGGCATACAAAAAATTAAGTTTATTAAAAGCGAAAACTCACAATGTTTATCACCGCTGTTTGCGTTTTATTTTTGCACCCGCATGGATTTAAGGCGAAATCCTGAGGAGGCACTCTAGTAACTCGCGCGTCATATTAAGGAAAGTACTTACAGTTGAAATACACAGTCATACAGTCAATATAGAAAAAATCTCGATTTGCTTGAACAGGGGCCGCGAGGAATCTTTCTCTCTCTTTGACCGGAATAAGACTCAGCCACAAACAAGCAAGACGAGTGAACAACGGCTTGCTTATCACTAGCAGAACGATAGACGATTACAGAAATTCGCCGACAATCAAATTCTGTGCTGACCTAGTCCCTGCTCACAGATGTCCTTCCCTGATAAAGTTTCAAATAAGACTAGAATGCGCGAGCGTGAATCGACCAAACGTCCTTTTTAATTTCTAGGGCTTACTTTCCGGCAAATAAAATGAACTGAATGTAAAAAGTGAAAGAGAAATAGCGAAAAATCCAATTTCTAATTAAATCTTTTCTTATGGTTTAGAATAAACTATTCGCGAAACTGAGAATGTTTTGATCAAAGTTGTGTAATTCGAGCTGAAACTGTGCATGGAACCTTGCGTTCCCTGTATTTGTATAGGTAATAACATGATTAGTAGTGATATTTGTAGGAGAGTAAAATTTGGCTTTTTTGTTTTAATACGCTATTGTTACAATCTTCGTTCGGAAAGCAGGTGTTTTTCCACTCGAGAAAGTCAGACAACGCAAAAAATTATTTATCGTCAATGAAATTAGGCGTACGGCTTAGAAAAGAAGATCTTGCATTGTTATAAAAGACGCCATTGCGAACACTTTGTTGCGAACGAACATCACAGTTTTACATTTGTGTTTACATTGAGTGGCGTCGTCGTCGACCTACCGGCCGACTGCATCTTCAGTATCCTTTTTCCGTTCCAGTCTTTTCCCAGTCAACAGACGTCGTCGTCGTGGTTCTTAAGTTCCCTAATATCACACGTCATGATGAAATAGTGCCGCCGAGCTTCACATCTCGGTAGATTTACTTTGTGGAATAACGGCCGCAGAGCTACACAACTCGGTAGATTTACTTTGTGGCACTACGGCCGCCTAGCTACACAACTAGTAGATTCACTTTGTGGCACAACAGACGCTGAGCTTCACAACTCGCCGGTAAATTTACTTTCTGGCACTACGAACTCCGAGCTGAACAACCCGGTTTGATGCATGCACCAGGAGTAACACGCATTTTCCAAAGAAAAATATGAAGGCTTAATCCAAAGTAAAGTTTTTCTGAGGGTGTAAACTTTCAGCACACTTTTGAAAGATGAACGCTTTAGAAGATTCATTTAAACACAGATCGATAGCAAACTCTTAACTATGTACGCTTTACGAAAATTCAGCACACTTTGAAAAGATGAACGATTTACGAAGACATAATAGCAGACCTCAGCAAACGTTTGAAAGATGAACACCGAGGACACACGAATTACCAAGTGCGTTAGCGCGTCAAAGTGAGGCAAAACCTGAGCAAGCGCCTCAAAGCGAGGCAAATGTGTGTCGACGACGACGAGGAATGCAATCTCGAGAAAACCTCCCTTATTAATTGCACAGGACACCCAATAATACACAGAACACCCAACAGAAATAAGGGATTGCGTTCTCGTACCTTGAACGCAATAAAGCGATGGTTGAAAGCGGGGAAGGGGAAGGGGGCCGTGGTGGGATGAGAAGAGGGCGGGTTTCTTAAGAAAGTTTTATACAAGGAAAGCAACTCCCCGTCGTCCAAGTCCCCTTTTTTTTGACAAAAAGATACGCACCCCTTTTGTATACTTTCCATTGAAAATGGTTTAATTGTTAACCTACTTAAAAACAATAAGTCGCTAAAGCGAAAAGCATTCTCCTCATTTCGTGTAACGTTATTGTTAAAAGTTCAATTGATCTAGCGATAAGGTGAGATTTTTCGAAGCACTCTAATCAAAGGCTCTCATTAAATACTTAATTGACAGATTTTCCTATCCTTTTGTATACAGGTGAGTTCCCTACCCTTTAGTATACCTAACGCATAAAGCCTTAGCGAGACATTTTTAGCAAAGATCGTCAACTGTAAGTGGAGGTTTTGTATGCTTGTGCAGTGGGTAAAATAAGATCGCTCAATTTCTTTTTTCGGCCAATCATCTCAATAAGATAAACTTAGGGTTGATTTCCACCGAAGCGTTTTTGGCTACGCGGGTTAAAACGCTTATCGATCTGATTTTTATCAAACTCTCTTTAACTTCCCAGTATCTTTAAAATCGGGCAGATAAGTCCTGTGATAGGGTACCTCATTCTTCCCACTCGGGCAATAACGTTAAGTCATATTCAGCCGCCTAACGTAACTACAGGCACGCAGTGAGGTCTTTCACTCTACTGGACCCTACGTCTTACGCTCAAATCTAAAAAGACCTAAAAATACTACTAAAGAAAGACAGAGCACTTCCTTTTTTAAGAGCACTTGCTTCAAACTATCGCGATTTCCTCTATTATTATCAGTGTCGAATCAGTGTGCTATATCAATCTATAAGAGAGCCTTTCCTCCGGCCTAAAGGAGAAAATGGCACCGTCAGGAGCGTATATAAACGGGATCGTGCCCCATTTAGCCCATCCTCGGACACACAAGGTCGGTGGGCTGGAAAAGATCTGTGGAGTGGGATTGATCTACGAGCGAGAAAGTAATGAAGTAAATAAAGGCGATTATGACGGCATTATGTTCGATGCTCTGACTATAGCATTATGCCCAAAATTATGCCGGCACAATGCATCCCAGGAAATTTTTGTTTTTCTTGTGTTTTTGGGTATGGTAATGTAACAAAGGACAAATAAAAATTACCCAAGATTAAAAAAGGAACTACAACATATCTTACCCTAATAAAGTTGCGTGACATCGGGGAAAAGATTGCTTCTCGAATTACATTTTTTTATCACGTGCCTTCTATATTTTGCGGTTGGTAGCAGAGAGATCGAGAATGGTGGTTCCATTACGGATTTCTTTGGCACTCGCTGCAATTTTTCACATCATTTCAGGTAAGATGTTTTTTTGAAGTGCTTAATAATTGATCAAATACAAAGGCTCTTAAATAGTTTCACTTTACTTAGCCTGATTTGGTACATAAACAATACACGTGCAATAATTAGCTCCCTTCTTGTTCAGCGTGGGACGGTTGTTGCGCCAAATACGAAATTGTTTTGTATACAGTTGATGATTTATTCTTTATCAAGATTATAAGAACCAATGCTAATGCAGCTGTGCTACTCTTGAAAGCAAATTCTACCTCTAGAGACAATGAACTGTGAATTGGTCTCAATTAATACAGTGTGTGAGTTCAGTAAGCTTGTAGTGTTTATCTGCAAAAATATATATATATTTATATTGCTGCAATTCAGTATGCACGCAATATGAAGATCCTTACTCTATCGGGTACACCATTTATTTCTATCTTTATCGGGGTATTTTCATTTCTCAAATACCGTCATTCTTTCTTAA